CCCCCCACAATATTGATATGGAAAAATTTCCATTTAATTTTAATGTTAACAATACCTTTAAGAAATTTTAACTTAAATATCTTTAGGACTCGGCGATAACGAAATTGATTATAATTCAACAAAACATGATTATTTTATGTTTACAAAGAGACTGTGTAACGATTAACAATATTTTCTAATATCATATTTAAGCATAGAATACCGGTATCTTTAAAGAAGAATGAAAGAAACACCTGACCATACAAAAGAAGAAAAGAAAGAACAATAATTTTATAAAACGTTCTCTCACCGCCGCAGTGTTGACCCGCCGCTCCTTGCCAATGTGGTATTAACTTTAGATCAAAGTGAAACGACCGTTTTCATTGGCTGAAAAAAGTCGGGGCCACAAGATAATAACTCGATAATAACTTGGCCAGGAGATAATAAGTCGTGGCCACAAGATAATAATTAACTCGTGGCCACGAGTTAATAAGTCGTGACCACAGATAATAAATCGTGGCCACAAGATAATAACTCATGGCCACGAGATAATATCTTGAGGCCACAAGATAATAACTCGTGGCCACGATATACTAAGTCGTGACTACGAGATGATATCTTGCGGCCTCAAGATATTAAGTCGTGGCCACAAGATAAAATAAAACTGCAGATGCCACCTCTATGCCACCGTATCTATGCCACCGTAGTTTTAGGACATCATGAAAACATGTAATAAATATGTGCCCCGATATTGACAAGGGGAGTAACTCATATTGTAATAAATTAATATAAATGTGCAAAGCTACCTCCCTTAGAACAGCAAACCGTCGATCGGGAAAGGCGTTTTTTGATAGATTATTTATTATTGTGTGAAAGAGATTTTGAAATGATAAACAATATTTATGTCTGAAATTCTAATGAATTCAGCGACCATGCTTTAAATTTTGAAATTTTGTGTAACTCGGTTAACGCAAATGGTTACAAAGTATTTAATAATGAGTATATCAAATTGAGTTATAATGATATTCTGGAATAATAGCAAAATTGCCTGTTTTAATTGATATATTATTGAAATGTAATGTAAATGATGTAAACAGTGTAAAAAAAATACGGTGAATTAATTCGCGAGTGATGTGAGGGAAGTAGCAGATCCTCTTTTTTTGTAATAAAAAAACATCGTTGTACATTTCCAAGATTTGGTGTATCCCTGTAAATGGTTTGATTTAGACTGTAGGGAAGCAAAACAATTGTACAAAAATGCACTAAAAAACAGAGACTGATCGATTAGAATAATTTCAACCTAAATCTAAGTATAAATATATGGTTAAGAAAAAGCGTCGTTCTTTTGAATGGCAACAAACCAAAAAAATTTAAAATTTAAATAAGAGTAAGCCACGTGATTTTTGGCGCTTTTTAAAAAAGCAAGGGGAAGTAATAATTGTTAATTGCGCGATTTTAAAACATAAATATAATTTTGAAACTATGTTCTCTCTTCAATGAAAGAACAGAAGATGTTAATAATGTCCATGATTTTAATGATTTTAACCCTGTTTTTGAATTAGATGGACATATTACTTTACAGGAAGTACTTAAGGCAATTTTTATGCTTAAAAGAAATAAAACGAAAGGGGAAAATAATCTTTTAAACGAATATTTTGTAGAAGCAAGCGATATTTTGTATGGAGATATAACAGAGCTATTTAACAATATTTTAGAACCTTGCGTTTTTCCGAAACCTGGACGAGAGGTTGTATAATACCATTTCATAAAAATAGAAATAAAGAAAATGTACAAAATTACAGAGGAATAACTTTATTAAGTCATACTGGTAAATTTTTACTAGTAATTTAATTTAAAAAATCGCCTATGAATGTGTTGATCTGAAACGCGATAGTCGATAGTACGATGATGAAATCACGAAACTACGATGATGAAAACGCGATAGTACGATGATGAAAGCACGACAGTACGATGGTGAAAACGCGATAGTACGATGATGAAACACGACAGTACGATGATGAAAACGCGAAATCACGAAACTACGATGGTGAAAACGCGACAGTACGATGGTGAAAACACGATAGTTTGTCGCGTTTTCATCATCGTAGTATCGTACTGTCGCATTTTCATCATCGTACTATCGCGTTTTCATCATCGTAATTTCGCGTTTTCACCATCGTAGTTTCGTGATTTCGCGTTTTCACCATCGTACTATCGACTATCGCGTTTCAGATCAACACATTCATAGGCGATGGCCCTAACGGCATTCCGTACTTTTCACCATATTTCTCAAATTTATAGCGAAGGTTAGTAGCTTACAACCAGTAACTTTAGAAGTAAGACCTTTACTGTCAATAATAACTATGTATTGTTATGAATGGCAAGTTTTAAATTTGTAGTGTCAAAGTTTCATTTGTTGGCCATTTTTTCAATTTAGCGTAGTAATCTACTTGAATTCTATTCAAGCTAGAAACAAGATTGAACCAAAATTCATATTACATTGTACATTGTAAATCCTATTTTACGACATATTATAAATTTTGAAAACGCCGATTTTATTACGGTATAATGTCAAAGGTATATAACTGCTGTAAAATTTCCATACGATGCTTCGTAAATACATGCATGAAATAAGATGTTTAATTATATACACGAAAGCGAAGTCATGAAATAACGCCAAACTTTAAACTATGCGACACATCTTAAATTCTAAATTGCTAATTTTAAACGAATTACAAAAGCTAGGGTATAAAACAGATATGAGCCGCGTCACGACAAAACCAACATAGTGGGTTTGCGACCAGCATGGATCCAGACCAACCTGCGCAGCCGCGCAGATGCGCAGGCTGGTCTGGAACCATGCTGGTCGCAAACCCACTATGTTGGTTTTGTCGTGACGCGGCTCATATATGTATCTTATTTGTTAAGTATAATTTTCGCCATTTGTATTCCGATAAAGCATAACTGGTGTGCGAAATTGACTGTCATTTGCATTATCCGCTTCTTTTTTTTTTACAAAAGTAATAAGTAAAAATATTAGAAATGAAAATCATTAAACGCTTTGAACTAAAATCAGGAAAAAAATCGTACGCACACACGCCCGTACGCAAAAAAAAAAAATATCCTTTTTCATTCTGAGTATTTTTTAAAGTGTTTTTTTTTTCATCTATGCGGGACATTCAATCTTTTAGTTTTTGATACTGTTGAATCTCAGTGGAGCTCTTTTATTAATACCAGTAATTATAATGATAGTGGCGATGACACCAGCATGAATGACGATGGTGATGATTCAGTTGCTGATCGACAGATTGATAGATTAATTAATGCTAAAACAATATAAAATGAAACCGCTGGTTTGTTGTGTTTTAAAATGTATTACACCAATCGAAAGCTTTAGATCTTAGCTTCATCACAGTATAAACTTCAACACATCTTTTGTAAATTGACATTAACTGTTAAACCTACCATATGTCAGACCATTTTACATACGCAACCCGTTATCTTTACTCGAAATACCACTGACGTCTGCTAGTTCTGAAAGTGTTTATTGCCACTTTTTATGTTAATTCTTAATAATTGACACGCAACACTATGCACATTTATTACATTAATTATTATTATCTAACTTACCATAAATTAACACATTAAAATGTTGGGGGACAAAAAGATAATAAAATCAATATTTTAACCCTTTGTATATACATGTATGACCTCTAACAATAACTAAATAAACTATTAAAGTATCTATAACATTAACAATGTGGCATTCAATTATTTGATTTAAGATAGTCAAACTATCCTTTTGTGTTACTTTTAACCGAATTCCCATTTTCAGGTTTCAAATGACAAAAAATAACCTCTAGACAATAGCTTACAGATTTTGAATAAGGCTGCTTCCACGAAGTCATTTTGAAATAAGGCTGCTTCCACGAAGTCATTTTGAACGTCAGTTTTTATAATTATGTCAAGTCTCAATCTTAAAGGGGAATAAATGCGGCATTTTATCAATTAGAGTTTAATTTTGATAGAGGATATATTAAATTATTGTATAGATTCAATACTACATTTTTCAAGGAGCTGAATACATTCATATTATGCGAGCCTCTAGCGAGCATAATTTATTTTATTCATCTCGTTTAATTAATATAGACTGAATATACACGAATATAGTATTCTATTTATCATACCTTTATCATACCTAGAACAAAGACTGCTCAAAGTGCAAAAGAATCATGTTCTAAGCATATTTACAAATAGCAAATTATCAAATCCTACAAATTTTTAAACTAAAAACATGTTAATGTTTTTTTTTTGGACAGCAGGCAAGTAATGCAGTACATTACCATTACTTGGACCAAGAAATGCAGTACATTACCATTACTTGGACCAAGAAATGCAGTACCATTACCATTACATTTGAGCATTTAACAACTTCTTTTTGCCAAGCTAAGATATTTTGCAAATTGATTGATCACTTTCAACCGTTGAGATTGGTACAAGGTCGGCAGCTATGTAAGAAATTAAAGTTTTTATGGCGTTTAACTGCTTAGGGTTGTTCGGAGTACATGTACATATTTTTGAAATTGAAAAGGATTCTTCCACAAATGCTGTGATTTTTGCTTCACTTACTGCCTTCTTTATAGATGACTCAAGATATTAATCTCTGTGTTTTACCTATAAATGAAAATACAACCAAACTGAATTCACATAACATTGTTTTTTTAAGTAATGCAAAGTAATGCGTAGTAATGCACCTCCTTACCTGAATTTTGCATTCCAGTACCATAAGAAGTAATGCAAATTGCCATGCAGTATCATTACATTGCATTACTCTCAAGAAAGGTAATGCGTTCTTACTGTATTACCATTACCCAAGCCTGCGGAGGAGTCACTTTAAAAAAAGGATATAAATACCCGATTCATGATTGATATTCGGTTATTTACTCCGACTATTCAATCCGAAATAACAAAAAAGCGGTCAATTATCCCACGCTAAAATACCTTTGTTAAGACAAGTATAATACTGAAGGGTTTACGTGGACTAAAAACTTGTCGATTGATTACAAGGTAGTGTACCTACACGCAAAAGTACTGTAACATTAGGGAAAGCAGAGTATGTATCTTTGTACATATAAGTATTATAAGGAGGCAAAACCTTAAACTTTTGTCATCACATATTCGGACAACGTGACTTATTTTGAATTTATAATTAATAGATGAACTTCGAGGAATTGTCAAATTTGCAATATTAATCCATACACAGAAATGTTAAGACACAATAATGTCGTGACGTTGCATAACAGAGTAACAGACCAACCTGTAACTGTTGGAGTTGGAGATGGAGCTCTAGAGCTCGAACCACCTGAAGAGGGCGCCACTTTAGAAAACCCGCCAAATGGAGGATATCGAGCTTGGTTAATAGTTCTTTCATGCGCTTTGATAAATGCGTTGCTAAGCAGTATGGAGTTGTTGATAGTTGCCTCTATTCTCAAAATGGCGTCTGATGCCGGAACTGACGGAGATATTGTATCACTGTTCGTGGCACTTGTTAATCTGTACGGTAAGTTTGCATTTGGAATATTGACATGTATTTTATATTCATATTAATTATAAACTATGCCGTGTCCTACTGTCTCATTATGATTGAATTGTTATTCGTTATTTCTATCATTTATTAGTGTAATTCAATGGTAATTATAATGTATAATATATTTACACTATAATAAAGTACGTATTAATGAAAGTTGATAATACTATACCCTAGTATTATACATATATGATACAAAGCATTTAATATTTATTTTTATATTTTTTGTAAACATTTAGATTCTAATTATAGCTATCAAAGTTAATGTGTATCTTTACAATATACGTATCATAAATGATATTAAGCGTCATATATCAGCAATAAATTTCTTATAAAAAATCTAAAGTAATATGAATATGAAAAAAATAGAAATACAGTACCCTTTAATGGAGGGGAATTAAAAAATCGTATAATAATTCACAATCCGCAAACACATATACATACGTATATGTGATATAAATTGATTACACGTGTTTTCATCTTAATTGTTTCAATGAAATTGCAGCCAGATAAAATCATAAAAATATACTCGCTTAACAAAGCATTGCAGCTTTAAATATCTTGGAAAATATGAAACCAGTTTATTAAAAAAATTATTTAAGACGGTTACCATGTTCGTAACAAAGGCTATGGCAGAATCAAATCTTTTAACGCTCATTTCAAAACTTACAAATGGAAATTAATGAGTTATAATAAATAATCCAATCTTAAAATAATACAAAAACTATTATGCAGGTTATTAAAAATGAAGAAAAAGTAATATTCAATGGATTGGCGTATTTTTCTATACAATTTGAGAGCGTTTATTAAATTGTATGTTTTCATTTTTTCACAGCTCCACTGGGTGCAGTTGTTATGATTCGTTTTGGTTACCGGGCAACAGTTTGTGTTGGAGCCGGTTTCGTCATGATAGCCGTTATCGTACTATCTTATCTTGCAGCGGGAGCCGAAGGCGGTGTAAAATTCTTTCTCTATGGACCCGCAGGTGAGTTCAATTCTAATAATACGAAACACGTTACTGAAGAGAGTAAAACCACAATTATAGTGAAACTTTTTTCATTTTCATTTGTTAACAAACATTTACGTGATGTTCTAAATTGTCGAAATAAAAATAATTAACTGACCGATCGGTAATTAACTGTTTGATCCTGTGTATCGATTGTTTGATTGATTGATTGATTGATTGATTGATTGATTGATTGATTGATTGATTGATTGATTATCGTTTCATAGTAACAATTTCTATATTATGATTTTTCAGCAATAGGCATGAGTTTCATCAAACTAGGAGCATTGATACCAGTGTTAGAATATTTTACAACAAAGAGAATGAAAGCGTTATTCTTATCAAGACTTGGGACATATGCTGGACAGATTATCTTAATTTTCATACTAATAAGAGATCCACCTGACATTAAGCGGAGGGCTTTTTTAAGGTATTTTTGTAAAAATGTTTAGGTGCACAAACGAAATTATGCATTTCAATAAATATATAGCTACGAAATTAGGTCAGAATGATTTGATAAATATTGTTCAAGATTCATTCAAATTGAATTTTTAAAAGCCCTGCAAATTCATGAAACGAGCGAATACTAAATGATCCGACTTATATGAATTAGCTAAATATTTTGTTTCCTTATTAAATGTATGTGTATAGTTATATAATGAATACACATTTTGATAAAAGAATATTCCTATTGATACCATTTGACATGAAGACACCGTAATAAGAAAGGTGGTTTTGTTTCACCACTTATAGCTGAATGCACTAGCCTTGTAAAAAGTTCAGCTTTAACTTTTATATTTTAAGGGGCTGCACAGGTTTTTGCATCGGAATAGGATTGCTCGGCTTAACGCTACAGGAACTTAAACTCAACATGAAAGATGGAACAGGAACATTTGTTGCAAGGACCGTTGGTGTTGGAAGTAAACAAATTCTAAAGAGCGCACTATTTTGGTCAACATGTGCTATATATTTCTTTTACCAATGGGGTAATTCTTTTATTTTGTCGTATTATTTATTTGAAGCCATTACAATGTTCAACGTAGTCAATAAATACAAAGCACATTAAATTTTATATATACTATTAGTTGTTAGTTAGAACTGGATTAAAACACACAATTTTCTTTGATAGATAACACTCTATTCGTTGTTTGTTCTAAAGTGAGCATAAGAACGATATACATTGTTGAAGCCTAGAAGGTACAGTCAAACGTGTATTAAGCGACCGGGCAAGGGAAACACCCAAAACGGTCGCTTAATGAAACGGTCTCTTAAGACAGTCAGCATGATATAAAAGTCAAAATTTATAAATGACATCTTTTTTATTCGGTGGGATTGTTTTTCAACTTCACTTTTATATAAATGTTGAATAATAAGTACGCTCCGATAATCTAAATGGATGCAAATGTAAAAATAACTTTCTGATATTTATTGACAAAACAGTTTCGATCCATTATGTACATGTTTGACATTTTTTCCAGAATTTTTGTAATTAAGTTTCAAACATTATAGGTAAACTAGCAATTATCTGTAATAAGTATGAAAAGACTTTTTGGTGAGCAAACTTATTCTTTATTTGTCTCTGTTATCAGTTTTTTATCATGGACATAAATGATCTCAGATCTGTACTGATCGTTTCAATAAGGTTTCTGTGATTTCTGGTAGTGAAGAAAAGTTCTATTATATATTTTTAGGCATTGAAACGCCTCAAGGTCAAATCCCCTCAATGGCTGTACACTTAAAGTTAAATGTGGCAGGGAATCTCTCTTACGCATTAATGCCGACTTTCGGAGAACTATTGGGAATGTTTTTAGCATGGATATTCAAGAAAGTTTACTACGAGGAAGAGAGCCGGTTTGTACAATTTTAGTAGACACATCAAAATTGATTCAGCTAATCCTCCAGAACGAATAAAGTTTTTAAGAACCTCCACCATTCATCGAAATCCCAATAATCATCATAAACATCATCATCATCATCATCATCATCATCATTATCATAATCATTATGATAATCTAGCTTAAGATGAAAATAATCAGGGAGGTATATAAAATTGCCAAAACATCATTTTCATGAAGTCACACTTATAGTTATCTCTTTGTTTATATTTACTTTCAGATTGCACAAGCGAAAGCTGAAGGCAGACCGCATGAAAGTAGTTTTTGGTATTTTATTTGTGGCAGCATTTTGTATGTCTATTTGTTGCTTTATAGCGCCTAAAGCAGTTACCGTTTGGTACTTCTTCCCATTTAGTATCCTGTTTGCTGCTTTGTTTGGTAAGGGGTATATTCTTCGATTGCGATCAGTTCAATTAAATGACATCATTACTTTTAAATATGTATCTTATTCATCACTGATTTAACATAGAATGGTATCAAACTTTGCTCTTTGAGCAATGTTTTCCGATGACGTGATACCTACTCCAAATATACATAGCCATAAAATTCCGTAAACTTCTCAAGTAATTATGCTTTAACACACTTGAAGGACTGTCGGTCCCAAATTTAGGGATCATGCATTTGTTATTTTATCTCAAGCTTTCTCTCAGTCGTTTTCTTTATTCTGCTGGTCGTGTGACTTTACTTTATGTGTTTGTTACAGCGATAAATACAGAGTAATATTGAGTACTTTAAAAAGGGGTGTCACGGTTAGAGAAAATGCTAACCGTTTAAACGGCAACTTAATAACCGTGTTAAACGTTTTTACGACCGTACTAATAAAATCCTTAGATTTTTTTATGACATGATATGCCGTTGTGTTCGTATTTTGTTGTACTCAAAATGATTACAATACATATCAGAATATGGAGTGACTATTTTCCGCTAGGGTCGTACCGTATACGATTAGATTGGGAAAAAAATTCATTGTTGAGTACAACTAAAATACAAACAATAATTATTGTCATATTTTGTTTAAAAAAACTAAGGTTATATTAAGAATCAATTAATTTTTTGTTTGCTTCTTTGTCAAATATTAACCTCGGTTACCTGTTATTGTATTTCCAAAAGTAGAACACGTCCTAAACACGATCACAATAAACTATTCTTAATCGTCAAAAATTCTGTAATGCTTTTTCTCTATCAGCATTTTGCGAAGGTTTACGAGATGATGCTGTCCCGGAAGAGTTTGGAGGGGAAAATGTGCGAATTGTTGAAGGACTTATCCTAATGTTTGCTGGTCTTGGTGGTGTTATAACAAATGAAATTGGAGGTAAGCCGGCTTATATAGAGATAAAATTGGCAGGTAATTTTCTAGAATAAATTTAAGCTTATTTAGTTCTGTTTTTGATAATAATAAAAACACTTTAAATTTGATTATTTTGGCAAGAATCATGAGAAGTCACCAGTGTTCTTTTCATACATATTTTGTGAATAGAAATACAAAGAAGGTTAAATGTTGTTTTCAGCATTTGGTTATGTATATTTTAACTGAAATGATATATTTTGGGTCTTCATTGTATAGATCTTTATTTTGACTTTTTAAGCTGCTCTTAACGATGATGATTTACACTGGAAGGAACTATTCTATTATGGTGGCGGTATGTTACTTCTATCAGCATTTGTCACATTGACTGTTCTTGGATTAATACGACACAAACTTATACCGTCCAAATTTAAAAGCAACCAAGTTTGCAAGCAGCCAAATGCATTGATTATCATTCAAAATCAGGCGAACCAGGACTCTCAACAACAACAAGCTAAGCCGGTTCAATATTTTCTCGGCCGCATAGAACCTCCACCAGAACAAGCAGTATCTAAAGGTAATCGACATATGAATGCCCAACCTTATCAGCAAGCGCCAGTAAATCTTCCAAATCAAACTGGCAGCTTTATGACGCATCAAAGTCAAAACAGAACGCAGCAGACTGTTCAGAGTGATGGCCCACAAAATCAACCACAAAGCGTTGTTACCATACAAGACCTTCAATAATTTGGTTTGAGGATATCCTAATAACATTTCAAATATATGTTTGCAAGAATGGCGAATAAGCCAACTTGTCATAAACTTATAATAAATTTCTTTTCATTTACATTTTCTTCAAACTGTCTGTAGTTAACTACGATCCGCGCAGTCTGATCAGGATCCATGTTGTTCGCTTACAAACCCTATTACAAGTAGAGAAACTGATAGCGAACAACAGGGATGCGGATGCGCAGGCTGGTCTTGATCCATGCTGGTCGCAAACCCATTATGTTGGTTTTGTCATGGCACGGCTCATATGTATTACGAAGTATGTAAGTTATGTTTAAAATTCTTCACACTATAGCTGGTCACAATATGATTACATAGTGTCGCTAAAAAACTGGAATTTTTCTAGAGAAAAAAGTAAACTTTACTTCATCTGTAATAAGGAATGCAGCTTCCCATATACAGTTTATTCATTCTTTAATTCAAATAAGACGTATTCGGTAAGAATTTCAATGATTTCAAAACATTTCTGTGATTTAAGACTCAAGGGTGAGCATGCATAATATATCTTAAATTTAGACCCAAGACATTACGATAAATCATTACGACCGTGTCGGCACTGTCTATATACTCGTAATTATATATTCCAACACAATATACAAAATGAATAGATATATATTGTCACATCTTAGGGTTCATTTTTTGTTATTTTTATGGAATTATTTCCGATATATTTTTGTATACATGAAACGTCCAACATGGAAATAAATATTATCTATAGGAGGTATTCATCGAACGTTTTTATTAAACACCGCTGCTTATGACTGTCATCGCGTGGAATGGGTGTATTTTCCTAATTTCATGTCTGTTGACAACCTTAAACTTTCATGTTCGTTTTTGTTGCGCATGCGTTTATTTAATCTCGATTCGGATTTGTATTATTATTGGCGTCCGCGCCGAAGCGCGGCGCCTATTATGGAATGAAATCAGATTTTGTGAAAGGGCGACAGCAACTTCTCGAGCCTTTTATAGTTGTTCATAATAAAAGCCGATCATTCCGATCGGTATGAGGGTACTTGATTATTAATTAGTCGCGATATGTACAATGAATGGCCAACTGGAGAATTTCGCAATGCAAACATTTTCAAATGAATAACCTTTTCCGTCAATAAATCGCGCTCTTCGGGGTATTTTTGTTTATCATTTTGTAGTACCAGTGGGTTATTATGGTATGTTATTCCGAAAGCTGTTAATAGAATGATGAGTTGATGACCTAAATATTCCGAAAATCTATTTATAGAGGGATGTACTCCTATCGGTAATTCCCGGTCTCTCCCGGGATTTACTAGTGACCGGCGAATAGTACCACACGTTTATTGTCCGGTCTCTCCCGGTTTTGGAGTAGATGTTTGATATCGTTACAGAACAGAACAAATATTTTACAGATAAATAAGTTTTTTTTCAAAATGAATGTTTGTCACTTAGTTTGGTTACAATAATTAATCAAAGCACAGAATGCGCTGAATTTGTTTGGGTCTCAGAATGTAAGAAAGGTACAGGTTGTGAGATTATATGTATAGTGCCACCAATGCTTTCCAGCGTTTTAATTGTAGTAAATTGGCTATAAGACTAATTGCAACACTGATATTCAATCCAATGTTTATTTGACTTAAACAATTTGAAAAAAATTAGCTGCCTTTACTGGGATTTGAACTCCAGACCTCTGGCTTCCTAAGCGAGCGCGAAAACCCTTCAGCCACGGTGAATTTATATGTGAACGGCCTGAAGAAAACCATATTATTCTAAATCAGGGCTTGTAACGACTTTAACTGTTGTTTAACACAGATGTAAATAGTAAATAATCCTGGAGCTTACTATAAGCATATATATTTATAAATAATCAAAGGGCTGCAAGTTCTATGGTATTTTCTGATCTTTGCAATCTGAATCGTACTGTATATCTGTATGTATTTTCCTGTATAAGTTTATTTTTATGTATTATAATTCATTTTGCAAGGCACCAGAGTTTGATACATACGGAATTCTACATTACTAGAGTTGCACCAAAATATCATTTATGTTCATTTTTTTACGACAGCTACACTTTATCCTTGCATATCATGGCTACTTCCTTAACAAAGACACTTAAAATAATTTAAAAAAGAAAGAAAAAGTTTCCTCGACTGGGATTTGAACTCCAGACCTCTCACTCACTAAGCGAGCGCGTTACCCCTGCACCACGGAGAACTAATACAAACAATGTCTGAATAACATCAGGTCATTCTTAATTAAGAACTACCATATTGCATTTCGGGTTTATAATCCTTATTAATTTCGAGGTATTTTGTTCAGGATAAACCTGTTGTTTAAAATTGAAATAAATAATTTAGCGAAAATCTTCTCGCCCAAACAGTCCGACATGTAGAATCTATATATTCCACTACTCGGGTTGTGTAGTATTCGGTAATCGACATCGCTAAAATAGTATTTTCATTGATAAAATCATATTCATCCGCGTAATTTGTGATTGAGCATTTATTGACAATTCTATAAGCCAACGCTATTTTTAAACTTTGAATGCGTTGTAATTTGTTGGATACTTGTAACAAAATAAAAATATTTCTTTCTTTTAAATCGCTAGTTTTAAGCTGTTTTGAGAACTACTTGTTGTTAGGTTTGTCGTAAACTTCTGTGTCAGAGATTGAATGTCCGCTTTGTATTTACTTATTTTCGATCAGAAAATACAATAAAACAATATTAGAAATCTTCGACCATTCGGGAATTATTTTGCTTGAAAATTAATGTGCCTGTCTTTGGCCATCTTTACGCAGTGATCTCCCCTGAATTTTTCGGCGTTAGTGTACATATAAAGGGAAGTAACCTCTTCAAAAAAGTGGACTACTTTCGGCATTTGCAATTAACAGCATTAGACTCTGAAATTTCGCTACCATTATTTGTTTGGTCTGACGACCCAAACAAATAATAAACACAGATCAACTCTCAAATTTATTAATTATTATTATACATAAACATACAATTCGAAAAAAAACCAACAACACAAATCGCATGTTTTATTTAATCTATATGAGATAAAAACAATAAATATGTACAATAATTGAGAAAAAATGTACATTTTTATGGCATTAATATGACACTATCAACATTTTATTTAATTTGTTATTCGTGTTTAGTAAAGATGCCGAGGAATTATTCAAAGTTACAAATCAGATTTTATGAATTATTCAATTGATTGATAATTTAAAAAATGATAAAGAAAAATACAAATGTACATGTATATGGTTTAAGAATAAACAATATTATATATTGAAAGATTAACCATGATTTACTGACATTTTCCAGTTAAGTTTTGACTTGTAATCGTCGGTCAATATGACAATTGAATTCTTAAAATAGTAGTAAACGTAAAAACTCAGTATTAAAATAGCGCATAAAACACAAAAAAAGAAAAGAAAACAATATTCATAAAATCTGTATTTTTTTTTTTATTAAAATAGATATTACAATTATTGTATAATAAACAATTATGCTCAACATGATCAACATGGTAATATAACAAGTGTCATATTGTGAACAGATACCTTAAGAGGGGGTCCTCGCTAATAGCGATAACATAATAAGGGACAAAATTTACACAAGTATGGTGTTGATCATGCGTTACACATATGGATTATAAATGATTGTATACATGTATATCCGTTGCTATTAATAACCACGATCATAAAGAAATAACAAGTAATATTCTAATTTCTAGCATGCCAATCAAAGTTATAAATAATGAACAATTTCTTTCGTCCGTTCATTCATAAGTGATATACAATTCTGGTAAAACCCAATGAACCATTGAAAAGTTTATAAGAATATCTTGTCATCATATATCTACAAGTTCGTCTGCACCTGCTGCTTGGACGCCCTTTGATGCTTTGCATCAATGCTTTTCTTGTACGGATCGTATAACAGGCTCTTTTATTTACACTGCACATGAGCACCGGCTCGGACGCGGTGACTGCACATGCGCGCTATCGGCTCGGAACGCCGAGCAGTCGCCTTCTAGATTTTCTTCTGAGCACAGGCATTGTCTCATTTCTCTTATAAAAATTATCTTAAATAATTAAATTTTTGAATTTGAGGTAAAGTGAATCAAATTATATCACATTTAAATAGTTTAGATCTTTACGTAAATTTTATGTCCAGCTTTATTTGGGACATTTATTCCAAAATATTCAACTTTTTAACTCTGTTTTTATTTCGAGGTCTGACAGTCCGCGTAGTAGTCAAACTTTAAATATTATTGATCAATTGTTGCACCTTTTAATTCTTAATAAAATTGTTACTTAAATAAATTATTTTAACTGTTTATCGATAGTGTTATTATTGTGTTAAACTACGACTGTCCAGCCGGCGACATTTATTTTTAGTCACCGTCATCAATCCTAGAAAGACAAGACTTTGTGTCTTCGTCTGAATTTCTACATCAACAATCATCACTCGAGATCTTAGAACAACACAGAGAACAACATAAAACATCAGCCTTGATTAGAATAAGTCGCTACCATTTAGAGAGATTTTCCCCGCCCATTTTGATAGGCCGTCTAGTGACGGCCGACGCGAGTACAACATTGAAATTAAATAAACAAAATCCCCTAAAAAATATTATAAATTCAACAAACCAAGTAAGAAGTAGAGTCTAACGAACATACGAACGAGCACTGTGCTCGCGTCGCAATATATTAGTTTACAAATCTTTATGTAAAACACCACGTAGATTTTTTTATAAGTTGATTTTACCAATTTTGCGTTATTTCTCAGAGGTCTGGGGCTTTTACAAGGTATACAGGTAGTACGAACTTTTTATTGCATTCTAGTAAAACCTTAATTGGAGTTTTGATACCGACTCAAAATGATTTTGTATACAGTGAACTAGGCAGATTTAAATTATGTTCTATAAATTAGATATTGGTTGATATCGTGTATGTCAGAACTGAACTGGCTTACTTGCTATGAAAAGCAGATCGTTAAAATAATAGTAAATAGTAGATAGTAAATTGGGTTTCGAACGTACGATCGTTATTTTCAACAATGTATAGTAAAACCGAGGTGTTCCGCATATTAAATTTCTTAATGTATTTAGCCAGAGAGTTAGAGACACATGGAAACATGATTTTAAGTGCCCGAATCAGTAGTTCTTCAAGAGTCCATTTTACCAACACTTTCAATAACATGTATTACGATATTGTTGGTATTTGAAAACGTATGAAATAGCTATGTCACGTTTAAGAATGTCATCTCATTGCCTAAAAATAGTGGTTGTGATGGAGAAAACTCCATGTATATATACCTCCAATGGATAAACTGTGTAGCATGTAATTGATTAGAGAACGAGTTCCACTATGTTATAATATTTCCTATTTATAATGAACTCCGAACAAGATTTAGGAAGAAATGTAACGTGTACCGAGCGGATGTACAACGAATATATAATAAATTTTTCTTTGGGCTACCTGCCGTTTGATTAGATACAAATGATTCTTAAATGATCAAATATTATAAACAATCAGCTTGAATTAACACTCCGAAATACACTATTAAATTCTCAAAAAGGCTCAATATAGTAAAGATGATGTTTACAATATAACACTATAAAATTATTGAAAACTATAGATATCACGCTGCAACCCGATAATTTCCTATAGTCCAGCAACTACCTCCCTATCTATGAAGCGAGGCTTCTATTTAGATAGAAAGATAAGTTGCTGGTAGGGATTTACAACAAAGTTCCAACTATACAAAGCTTATTCGTTTTAAATCTACCTCTGGATTTTTAATACCTATATGTTACCAATTTCCTGATAGCGAGGCTTTCAGAAAATGTGGAGATCTATAAGTACCCAGAGTCAATTACAATTTCACAACTAAACTAGAACGACACTATATCCATGAAGCTATGCTTCAATTGGATAAACAAGGGTATATAGTTTTGCCAATTCTTCTTTTCTACCTATGAAGCTAGGCTTCAGTTAGGTAGACGAAATTATCCTCTATGTATGAAGCGAGGCTTCAATTACATAAAGTAACCTGGTCCCGGTGAATTCCTCTGCAGACTGAGTAATTTTGGCTCTGCCGCCTTATTTATACCTGCTGAGATGATCGCTCAAGCATGACTTTATTTTCATTGGCTGATAAGAATGATCATAATCACTGAGACGTTTATTACATTATATGATTTCAAACGTTCATTGAAAATACGTATACCAAACGTATATTGTAAAGTACCGTAAACTAAAATACATTGTCGTAATATAAACAATTAATATAATAGTCAAGTAACAGTAAATCATTACAGTAATCGATGATTATGGAATGCCGGTAGGGACATGCCAATTTGCTTATTTGCCAATTGCTGAATTGCTTATTTGCTAATTGCCGATTTGCTTATTTGCCAATGGCTGATAGGCTTAATGACAAATTTGCTTAGTTGCCAATTGCTGAATTGCTAATTTGCTTATTTGTTAACCGCTGGTTTACGTATTTGCTTATTTGCCTATTGCTAATTTGCTTTCTTGCAATAGAAAAAGTTTACACTGTGCCGGAAGTATATGGAACATCTGACTACAGACAACCAGTTGAGTCAGATCTGTTAACTTTTACCAACAGTATTCTTGTAAATTCAGTGTTTTTCCAAGAATACTGTTGGTCAATGAATTTAGTTGCAGTGATGCCTACGCAGATATATGTCTACAACTGATGGCTGACATGTCCTTGAGAACACAGACGCTTGGGGTCAGATCCCGTACCCCAACGTGATACGTGCCCCTGTAAACACTCTATTTAAAATATTTTGATATCTAAACACGAATTGGACATCGTTAAAACTTGTTTTCAAGCAATTTTTACATATACCGGTATGAAAAAATACCATATACCACCAAGTCTCAATAAAGAACTTAATGGTTTTATCGTTGTAACAAATGTCCAATTTGTATTTAAATAAATATTAAAATAGTTTTGATATAGTGTTTACATACGCGTATCACGTTAGGGGCAGGATCTGACCCGCCAGCATCTGTGCTTGAGAATGCCTTATAATGTGTTGCAGCCATAGATCTGTTTGTGCAGCTTAAGTCAGAGATTGGTGGCATAATAAACACTTGATTAGTCATATATAAGTGAAAAATATTGGTTACTGATTGAAAATAAAAGAACTTGAAAACAAAACTATTTATTATTTTATGGCATATAAAATGTCGTTATTCTCAGCAGATTTGTCACAGAGGGCCTCATTTTAGTGGTACGAACACATAGTATCACGAATGATACATTTGGTGCATGCTTAACACGGGTGTTTGTCTTTGCACTTAAGCAATAGGCTTCGTTTTTTAGCTCTGTAAGATTTTGAGATCACTTATTGTCAGTGTGTGCATCAACATTTTGCTTTGGTTCAATGGTTTTGAAATTTGGTCACACTTTTCCATTTTTTCATATTGAACATTTTACATGCTATCAGGTGACCATGACCATGATCATGACCTAGGGTATAATGGACAAAGCCTCTTTGAATATTGTGTATGCATGCTGCCTATTTAACGCTTATGTGAAGTAACAGTTAGATATACGCAATAGTAACAGAGATATGACAGAAAAACAAAGGTTTCTCAGTACAATACATTGGTGACCTTGACATTCAGTATATAACGGGCACAGCTTCTTCATGTACTTTTTATGCATGCTTGTAACGCAAAGTTTATGCAAAGTTGCAGTAAGATGCATGAATCAACAAAAGTAACAGAGATATGACAGAAAAACAAGTTACTAAGAATAGCATCCCTATTCTCTGAATAGTGGAGCTAAAACGGAAACTCAAGATAATAAAAAAAAAACAACTACTTTCTGAAACTGAATTTATTTTTTTCGAAATTGATTAAAATGTATCCATCTGTCTTTCTACCTATATTCTAGGTAATGATGGATTGATCATAATTGTCACAAGTTATAATTAACAAAACCTTATAAACATAATATTAACATGATATAGGTTCATGAGCTTGAAATAAAGTCTACAAAGACTTGTTATTTTATATCAAACAAGAACTTAGCGAGTCGGACGTGTCGCCTGACAATAGCATAAAAAATTATGTATACATGTATAAGCAAATAAGCAATTAGCAAATAAGCAAATTGGCAAATAAGCAAATTGGCAAATAAGCAAATTGGCAAATCAGCAATTAGCAAAAATGTAGCTGGCAAATAAGCAAAGTGGCATGTCCCTACCGGCATTCCATAGTTTAGCCTATCAGCCATTGGCAAATAAGCAAATCGGCAATTAGCAAATAAGCAATTGGCAAATAAGCAAATTGGCATGTCCCTATCGGCATTCCATAGATGATCTTTATTCAAAACTAGCTGATTATACAAAAATGCCAAAACGTTACAGAAATATTACTGGAGGTCATGCAAGCATGTTTAAATTTGTTCATTTGATTAGAAGTGAGATTGTACAGGACATTAGAAATTGAGTCATGTTTATATACCACGCCTTTCATTTAAACAACAGTTACAAATAGTTCTCGTGTAAATTTACATAAATGTTTTATTCAAATTTCTATTTATATGTGCATGTATAGAAGTTGTATTCCGATAAATGTGTTGTATTTTACGTACATTAATAGACGTGTAAATGGACATAGATGTATTATTGATACATTGTTTTTCTTTGTGTATTATAATTATGTATAATTATTAAAGCAACACGATGATTATAAACAAGAGCCACATCTGGGAGGAGGAAACATTTTACTTTTTTCTAAGAGCAAACAAACAAGTCAATTGTTGATGATGCACATTAAAGACGCCGTTAGATGATGTGAACAGTCACAGATAATTTACAAAATCAGTCTTACATGTATTAAAGTTGAATATCCGAAGCGCTTATAAATTGTTCCTCATGTTATTGGTACGTGCTCGTTGTATAATAATTAAATTGCATATTTTGGAGAAAATGTAGAACCTAATGCATAAATTCAGAAAAAAAATCCATGTATGACAAAGATTGAAAGGTCTGGTCGAAGTGTTAAGAACATTTGTTATGTTTAATATATCATATTTAAAGTAAAAAATATAAATGAGCCGCGTCATGACAAAACCAACACAATGAGTTTGCAACCAGCATGGATCCAGACCAGCCTGCGCATTCGCACATTCTGATCAGGATCCATGCTGTTCGCTAACAAACTCTATAACAAATAAAGAAACTGATAGCGAACAGCATGGATCCTGATCAGACTGCGCGGATGCGCACGCTGGTCTGGTTCCATGCTGGTCGCAAACGCATTATGTTGGTTTTGTCGTGACGCGGCTCAAATAAAACTTAACTCTTTACATCTTGTGTTTCTATCATCAGTTAATTAATAAGCACAGTTTATGCAGCAACAATATATTTACATTATCAACTTACTGTTTAAACGAGACTAATTTGTAAGTCTGCGTGTGGGTAAATAACAATTTCCTGATGAAATCTGGTAAAAAGACGGTCTTTAGGTTTTAAGGCAAAAAATTTCCGTGCAAGTATAAATTAAAATAATAACGTATGAATGCGGTTTTGGAAGGTTTTTTTATATTTTACTTTGGTATTATCAAATTATAGCAAAAACTATCTTTTAAAGGTCTCAATTCCCGCTATTCGGATACTGAGTTAGATATGTAGAAATAGGTATAGTCAGATAACCATAATTTTTGGAAGGAAATTTTTTCAAAAAAAAATTTCCTTTCTATATTATCGGTCTGCCTATATTGAAAAAGAACGAACAACACCTAATTGAATTATGTTTAAGCTCAATAGAAAATAAGTAGTTAGTGCGACCAAGAAAGTAGTGCAGCAGAACTATATGTATACTTTCAAACGTGGATGACTTGAAGAAAAAGCTGATGTTCAAAAAAACTTGAAATGATGATATTCAATGTTAGCTTACATCAATGGAACATAATCTTAAACGTGTACGGAAAAAAAACATCAGTATTATTACGCATTAGGCCAAAGAAAAGTTTGTGTCCATGTACCTATGTACAATAAATTGAATATAAATAGGGTGTAATTTTGTAGCAGAGATGCTGAAAAGTTCACATATATAAGTCAACCGAAGGGAAATGAAAGTATTTATTGTATATATTTAGCAATTTATTGAATAGCATTTTATGCCACCGCTGATTTTTTTTACGTCGATAACTCAAGAGGAAACAATGAATACAATATGTGGCCTTAAAAAGGCGTTCTGTACTGTACTATTTTCGCAAAAAATGGTTCGCAAACTATCATAGAATCAAAGCGTTTGAAACAAAAATATTATTATATAAATAATAAAAAACAAGATTACAATACAAGTCTTTCAAAAGTATTCTGGAATTAACTGATGCAATTTGATAAAACTTGGTGTTGACTAATAAGTAGGGCAGACCCGCCATTGTTGGGACCATCGACAGAATAACGTTCGTGTTTTTGAGATTTCTCCATCCAAGACATAGATTTGCTGATGAATAACATCGCAAAGGTTTGTGGAAATGCTTTTATTTCTTTGTTCAAAATCGTTTTGTGTTTGCAGATGTTAATTTGTTAGACAAACGAAATTAGGTCAAGGATTGTTTACATTATTGGATTTACATGTAAACTCGGCCCTATACCAACTCGGGACATGTCAACTCGGCCCTCTATTAAAACCATATATTAGGATATAGATTGTTTAGTTAATAACATATTGTTTGAAATTATCTTTAAGATAAATAATCTTTAAGATTAGGAGAAAATATATATATGCATTCTTTGTAAAAATGTTAGAAGACTTGCAAGTTACCGACTTTATCATTGCATTTATTTATTATTGAAAAAATGCTGAACAGCTAGTCTCAACAGTGTTTATAGGCTAGAATTTTCAGTTTGCCTTAGGGCCAAAATTATTAAATATATTGTAAGTCATGACGGCTTTCCCATTGCTGTCATCAAACTTTAACCTTGTTCATAACTTTTTTCAGATCTTGGTGTATTGTCTTCATACTTGGCCACAACAACCCTTCAAATAGACCAGACTAAACTAAATTAACTTGACCACCATATTAACATTCAAGGTATATGTCTAAATCTTCTTGATTTTTGCTATTAGTGGCTATAACTTTGTTATTTTTGAATGGATTGTCTTCAAACTTGAACAACAATCTTTCAGGATAGGACCTGACTTACTCATAAATGTCCTTGAAGCTTTTGTGATCAGAAGTTGTACAGAATAATACAAACCCAGAGCAATTTCATTCACTTGGTTTTGCAACTTCTGAGAAAATGGATTTTAAAGATAGTTGTTTTCTTGAAATTTCAGGTCAGTATAGTAGATAGTAAAGACATTTAATACATACTGTATATACACTATAATTACTATAGTATACTATAAAAATCTTTATGCTTGGACAATTTTGAACAAATTGTTTCTTAAACAGTGTAAGAAATTAGGATTTGAATCGACTAGGCTGGTCGGACTACTAGATTGGAATATTCACTTGCCCAAAAGATATTTCACTAGCACAATTCATTTGTTCAAAACAGTTGTTTATATTGCCTCTGAAAATACAGTAGCCTGGTCGGGCTTGTTACTGTGAAAAGTTGATAGCCCGAGGAGAAATTTAGTAGTCGGGCTCTCGGACTACTGCTAATTTCGAACACTGCTTAAATTATTGATTTGATATCAACTAACATAATTATTGGGATACTATATGTATATCTAATAATAATTATATTTTATGTTTCAGAAGTTCGGCCTACAATCATGTCAGATTTATGAATGTGAACAGCAGGATATCGATTTTAAGGATGCTTTAGGGTCAATGACAATGAAATCACGAGAGATAAAGGCTAAAATGTGAGACTGTCAATCTGACTAACCTTGAAGTGAACAAATGGAAAAAGTGTTTCTTTCAATAGCATGGGCTTTTAAGGAAGAGGTACATGATTATTTAGAAGTATTTGTATATGATATTTCTTAATTATTATATTCTAATAGCTTTTTTTTCTTGATTTGTTTAAAGGCTGACACAGGACAGTTTATTTTAAGTCGGTGAGCTTCGGTCACTGGATAGACTATTGTCACAAAAAGCCAAATTTATAAAAAAAGAATTACAGTGTATTTAAATATCTTATACAAGAAATTAGGAACAAAATTAATAGCAAGAACAATTGTGACATGTAACATGTATTTAGGAATTCAGCTTTCTTTTCCTTTTTACCTCAGGACAATTCACATTAAAATATTGAATATTCACAGTAAGCAGTGTTAGCACTCCGACTTATCTGACATATATGATCATCTTATCATCACTTAGCTGTCTATAGCTTATCAGAATCACTCACATTTATGAATTTAAATAATTTTGAAAAAATTGCTGCTTAGCAAATAGATAAAATACTTGGGGTGTCTGTGACTGATTGGTTTAGTTTCTTGACTTTAAACCTTTAAGCCATTCACTGCTGTAAGTTGGAGCTCGGCAAGGGTTTACAAGTGGAATTTTAACTTTGCAATTAACTTTTTCTTAACAAATATTTCAGGAAACAGAGGCGCTTATATGATAGAACAGTAAAAGCAGGAGTGATAATGAAAGATACATGTAGATGTGTCTTCATGTCGGAAACACTAAAGAAATAGAAATATTGTGGTTTTATAAAACTTAAAAGAAATTGGAATACCTGAGAGACTGCCTGCCCTTTGCAATGTTGGATAAAGAGTTCTTAGATGTGATGTCGAAAGCCTCATGAAGCCCATGACTTAATCTAATTAGAAAAAAATATGACATTGAAGAGAAAACTAGTCACCAGTCTTTCACCAAGAACTATAGATAACTTTCCAATATTTGAAATATCATAATATGAGCCGCGTCATGACAAAACCAACATAGTAGGTTTGCGACCAGCATGGATCCGAACCAGCCTGCGCCTCCGCGTAGTCTGATCAGGATCCATGCTGTTTGCCATCAGTTTTTCTACTTGTAATAGAGTTTGTAAGCGAACAGCATGGATCCTGATCAGACTGCGTGGATGCGCAGGCTGGTCTAGATCAATGCTGGTCGCAAACCCATTATGTTGGTTTTGTCATGGCGCGGCTCATATGTATAGAACTTTATTGAGCCACCAGTTTTCCACCAGGAAAATAAGATCACTTAACTATTTTTAGCTCACCTGTCACAAAGTGACAGGGTGAGCTTTTTTGATCGCTTTTCGTCTGGCGTCCGTCCGTAAACTTTTACTTTAAATGACATCTCCTCATAAACCACTAAGCCAATTTCATCCAAACTTCACAGGAATGTTTCTTTGGTGGTCACCTCTAAATATTGTTCATAGAACGCTGGTTGCCATGGCAACCAAAAGAAAAAAACTTAAAGTATCTTCTTTTAAAGAACCCAAAGAGCTAGAGCTTAGACAAAGTATCTTCTTTTAAAGGTATGAAATATCTTCTAGTGAGTGTCTACCAAGTTTGTTCAAATAAAAGCCCTGGGGGTCAAAACTGGCCCCTCCCCAGGGGTCATTGAATTTCCCTATATGCATATAGTAAAAACTTAAAAATCTTCTTTGAAAAAACCAAAATAGCTAGAGTTTAGATATTAAGCATGAAACATCTTCTGGTAAGTGTGTACAAGGTTTGTTCAAATAAAAGCCCTGGGGTCAAAACTGGCCCCGCCCCAGGGGTTTCATTGTTTTTAACTATTTGTGTAAAGTAAAAACTTAAAAAATCTTCTTTTAAAAAACCCAATGAACTAGAGCTTAGATGTTTAGCATGAAACATCTTATGGTGTCGACCAAGTTTGTTCAAATTTAAGCCCTTGTATAAAAATTGGCCATGCCGGGGTGGGGGGTGGTGCAGAGGTCTTTGTTTTACATTATATGTGTGTAGTAAAAACTTAACATCATGAAACATCTTCTAACGGGTGTCTTACAAGTTTGGTCAAATAAAAGCCCTGGGGTTTAAACTGGCCCCGCTCCAGGGGCCTATATATACATGGCCCTCTTGTTGAAATATGTATGAACAAATCTTTATCAACTTCAAGCTTTTATTGAAGGAATTTGAAATAACTTGGCACAAATGATTGTTATAATAAGACAATGAGTCATGTCAACAACCAGACCCCTACCTCCAGGGTCAAGGTCGCACTTGCTCATTCAAGGTCAACATTGTCTTTTTGAAAGTATATCTCGTGTCCGGTCTATAACTTTCCTATCTCTAAAGGGATTTTGTAAATACTTGCCACAATTGCTCACAATAATGAGAAGATGTGTCATGCTCAACAACAGGTCACCTGCCTCCAAGGTCAAGGTCACACTTGGAGGTCAAATATTAGCACAGCCTGTTACAGGGTATATTTCGTGTCCGGTCCATAACTTTGTCATTTATTGAAGGAATTTGAAATAACTTGGCACAAATGTTTGTTATAATAAGACGATGATGTGCAACAACCAGACCCCTACCTTCAGGGTCAAGGTCACACTTGCTCATTCAAGGTCAACATTGTCCATTTGAGGGTATATCTCGTGTCCAGTCTATACCTTTCTTATCTTTGAAGGGATTTTGTAAATACTTGCCACAATTGTTCACAACAATGAGATGATGTGTCATGCGCAACAATCGGTCACCAACCTACAAGGTCAAGGTCACACTTGGAGGTCTAAGATTAACATAGCCTGTTATAGGGTATTTTTTTGTCCGGTCCATAACTTTTTTGTATATCAAAGGATTTTGAAAAAACTTGGCACAAATATTCACTATAATAAGACAATGTGTCATGCGCATCACCTGCATCCCTACCTCCAAGGTCAGGGTCACATTTCGAGGTAAAATATTAACATTGTTTTTTTAAAGGGTATATATTGTGTCCAATGTAGAACTTCTTCATAGTTCAAGGGATTTTGAAATAACTTGGCACAAATAGTCACAATAATAAGACGATATGTCAGTTACAACACCTGCACCCCTGCCTCCAAGGTCAAGGTCACACTTAGAGGTATAAAGGTAACAAAGTCTGTTATATGGTATATTTTATGCCCCGTCCATAACTTCTTCATAGATGAAGGGATTTGGAAAATACTTGGCACAAGTAGTCACAATGATAAGATGATATGTCATGCACAACACCTGCACCCCTACCTCCAAGGTCAAGGTCACACTAAGAGGTCAAAGCAGGGATTTTTTCCAGGATTTGGGAACATAACCCATACCCATGCAACTGGGAATTTCAGCGATATTTTGTTAAAATTGGGAAAAAATGCATAACTGAAAGTTTGCTGTGATTAAATGTATGCAAGCAATCACTGCCTAGGATGGCTTCTTCAAACATTTAAACACTATTACAGTAAAGAAGCCCTTATTTTCAAAGATTTTAGAATTCTTTATTCAATATTTATATTTTTGTAACGTTCAATTGGGAATATTTTCCTTTGGATTGGGAAATAATATACTATTTTCAATTGGGAATATGTCCCAATAACGGCTATAAAATAAGCCAAAAATAATCCCTGCAAAGCTTAACATGATATATTTTGAAATTCAGTATTTCATTTTATTTCTTTAATAAATTTATTGTTGCATTTGCAGATCTAGCATTGATCATAATTTTGGACTGAAAATCCTTAGATCCCTGCCTCAATCTTTTGAAATAGCACAATTTTTTGCTTCATATAAAACTTCCCTGAGGCGGGGGACCTTGGTATCTCTGTTACAAATTCTTGTTTATTTTACCAACAAGTGTTCACTTTCAAACTTTTGATCATTGTATTTTTTGTACTACCTTTTGTATAATGTTGTATTTTATTTGTGTTCTTATTTTAAGATTAGCATGGCCAACTCATGAAAGTCCAAATGATGGTCAACTTTTTTTATGTTTTTTTTTGTTGTTGTTTTTTTTCTAACATTATTTACTTTATTTTTACAGTGTTCCTCTGAATCATACATTCTGTTTTAGTTAAACATGCACTTCTTGTTACTTATTTTCCCATACTTCATATTACATTGATCACGTTTTGATGTGATGGCTCATAAAATTATAAAAATATCATTTTTAGCTCGACTTTTCTATGAAAAGGGGAGCTATCCTACTCGCCCCGGCGTCGGCGTCGGCGTTGGCGTCACACCTTGGTTAAGTTTTTCGTACCACCCCACTTTATTTCAGAAGTATTACAAGTATGGCTTTGAAACTTACCATACTTGTTCACCATCATAACCTCCATCTACAGACAAGAGTACATAACTCTGTCAAGGTTTTTGACAGAATTATGGCCCTTTTTTGACTTAGAAAGTGTATTGAGCTTGGTTAAGTTTTTTGTACCACCTCACTTTATTTCAAAACCATTGGAGGTATTGCTTTGAAACTGACCATACTTGTTTACCATCACGACCTTCATCAACAGACAAGAGGACATAACTCTGTCAAGGTTTTTGACAGAATTATGCCCCTTTTTGACTTAGAAAATACATTGAATATGGGTAAAATCCACTTATTGCCTTAACCCTTTGAGATATTGCTTTGAAACTTTTAATGCTATTTCACATCATTACCCCCATCTGTACGCAAGAGAAGGTAACTCTGTCAAGGATTTGTTTTAAAAATTAAGGCCTTTTATCGACTTAGAATCTTGGTTAAGTTTTTTAGTACCAGTCCACTTTTTGACTGAACTGTTTGAGATATTAATTTGAAAGTTGGAATACTTGTTTACAATCATGATTCCCAAACATGTCCAGGAGAAGGTAATTCTGTCAAAGATTTTATTTGAATTATGGCCCTTAACTGTCAATGTTTTGTATTATAGGCAAGCACTAAAAAACTTAAAAAATCTAAAAAAATTCATTCCTATCCACTTGTTCACTTTACCATAAATTATGTCATAATAAAATAATTCTTCACTAAATATCTTAATGCTCATGGCCATTGTTCACTTTAAAAATACAGAGATTCTTGTATTGCCTTTTACTGCAAAAACTTTTTTTATTGGCAAGCAATAAAAAAGTCAAGCGCGCTGTCTTACGGACAGCTCTTGTTTTGTACTTTACCTAGTAAAATATGAAAACAGAAATGCTCTTGTAAGCTAACCTGTTCTATGTTTATATGCCCATGCCATTTAAAGAATGGTGACAGGGCATTAAGTGTTACCCTGTCTGTCAGTCCGGTCAGTATGTGAATTTCCACTGAAATTTTAGTTTCCAACCAATAAGATTTGTACACCTTTTAAGGATTCAATTTATAACTGGTATATTCAACAATATATCAAAACACAGGTCAATTATGATTTCAGTTACATTCCACAAAATTTATACAACATTATGCCTTCCTTACCAAATCATATGCAAAAAATTGATTTATAACTGATAATATTTGAATGCTTTTGAAATCTATAAAGATTTTTCATATAGTTCTGGACAAAATTTAACAGTCTTTAGTGAGTTGGAGTAGTATGAAAAATCAGGTGTCTGTAAATCAAGGTCACTACTTTGGATCAAAAGTCAAATAATAACTTAAAACATGAGAGTATATTTCTATATACATGGCTGGATTTACATAACATTTATCACAAATGTTCACTTACGTATACATCTTTCTCCCCAATCTGAAGCTTTAAGGTTCAGTTCTGAATAATGGCAACAGGCTTGATATATGCTGCCAGTGGGCTTGTCTAATTATGTACATATTTTGATTACCCACTCAATATAAGCATTGTTCTTAACGCAGGCATTCAAGTCCTATGGGCACATTTCTACTTTTGACTATATTTTGTTGTATAATGTAAGTCTTGTATGTAAAAAATCCTTAAAACAGCACCTCCTATATTACTGGCCGTTTGCATTAAAGCTTCTTTCATTCAGATTGTTATAACTTGTGTCACGTCAATATGTACCAATAATTTAAAGGGACTCAGTCCATTGAGGTTTAAAAGCCTAAAACATAACATTTGAATTTCTACAGAAATGAGCCGGGGCACTTGATACAGAAATATATGCACAGATAGTGAAGAAATATACTTTGAAATAAATTGAAAATCAATTTTTTTATGCTTTTCTCAGCCTGATCTGCATGAAATGTGTTTAAACGCTTTCATTTTGGGTCACTTTTTTACAATTTGAATAATTATTCTTGAAAAAGGAAGTGTGCAAATGATCTGAAATTTTTCTCAAAGATTAGTGGTCAAAACATACATCAAGTGGTACATTAATCTAGAAAAATAAATTTCAGTCTCATCATGTCAAAAAACCTCAGTGGAGTTCCTTTTACACATTTTATCTGACAAACTTAATTTCATTATCTCCATATATTTAATCATTTATTTTTTATATCACATATATTTTTACTTTTATGCAAGTTTTGACAATAAAAGTTTATTTTAAATCATTGTTCTTTGTTTTGCTATGACTTTAACAGCATGTACATCAATTTCATACTAAAACACAATTAGTTATGTTTGAACTTACAAATGTAAGCACATAATGAGCTTTTCTTGTCCTTGAGTTTAAAATAAAAAGTCTCTTCATTAACTATGATTAAATAATGCTTATGGCATGGTCTTGAATTCCTATGAAGTAGTTATATAAGTCATGGCCGATTTAGGTCAAACTGAGTGGTTCTTTGTGTTTATAATGCAGTAGTATTATCTATTAATTCACTTATTACTATATTAGTAACAGAATTGCCTATGATTTCAACTGATTATGAGTGTCACAACTTATGGGTTTGGGGCCCTGGGCCAAGAACTAGTTATCAGCCCACTGAACATGAGTAGTGCAAAAACGGAAACAATGACGTCACATTTTACGTCATCAAATCAGCAAGCTGTAGATTGAAGCTTGCACATATTCCTTTGTTTTTAATTCACACGCATTGGGAATTTCTATGAAAATTTCCTTCCAACAGTACTTTCAGTGCTTTGATTTATACTATCTTCTGGCGGAATGTCCTGCTAGCTTGCGCTGTCAGATGAGCATTCCAGCAGAGCAATAATCCTACAGTTCATTACTGAATGCCCCGCTACATTGCTCTTCCTGTGTGATTTCAGTGCAATCCAGCAACACATTGATTTGACACTTTATGTGTACTGTCAGCTGAGCAATTCTGCAGTACATTAGTTTAACACTGTATTTCGGAAAACTGTATTGCTCTGCCACCTCAACAGCTCATTATCAAACAGAAGGTTGATTTTGCATTTTTTTTCCGGAATGCCCTTCTAGATTGCGCTAATTCAGCAACGCATTGATTTACACGATATCCTGGAATTCCCTTTTAGTTGCTCTGTCAGAAAAAAGATATTTCAGCGGATAACTAATTTTTCACTATATTTTGTAATGTCCTCCTCAGATAAACACTACATTTCCTTTTATTTAAATTGTAATCTAAGTCAGTGTTAACTTCTTATCTAATACAACAATCTTATCGTACAGTATATTTGTATTTATAGCTTCTTCATAATTATACTTATGTGTTGATCAATCAAATTATCTTTTCACTATTTACGTTTCTACGTTTTATATATATATTTTTTTGGTTACTTTTAAATGTGAAAAGGCTATATTTTAAGCTGGAAACATTAATGTTTGATCTTGAAAAAGGAATGCTTCCGAAATGTTTGTATAAAAGACATGTGGAAGCTAGTAAATTGTCTTAAAATGGAATTGCGGATGCTAAACGAATAAGACGGCAGCATGTTATTGTGATCCGGAACATTTGATCAGTTTTCGTACAATATTCATGTGAGTAAAAAAAAGACACATTCTATATTACAATACTCTTTTATTTTTAAGTGCAATTATCAAAGTCACTGGTAATGTGGCCGTTTGTGTAAAAATGTGACGCTACAGATGGTTGTACTTAATTGTTGTTAATTTTATATACTATTAAATATTTCATGAAACATTTCGTGTGTACTAAAATAGGAAATTAAGAAGGCAGGGCTGCTGAATATCCCTGCAGTGATAAAACAATGTACCCACAACGTTTGCATTCTTGCTACTGAAAGTTAATAAAGCTCTGCCTAATATATTACTTGAATATTAGCAAACTATTTTTAAAACAAATAATATAAATACATATTTATAAGTGAGAGGCAGACATTATGATTGTGTTTCCTTGCCAAACTGCTTAACTGTTTCACATTTTTTACATAACATTCAATTACATAGCAATAAAATAACTGAACTGTGAATTAACTGGTAAACTAAAAAGGATATTTACCTTTGAAATAAGTAATAAATATCGCAAATAAAAGACATATGATAGATTCATCCTAAAGATTTCAGATAATAAATTTAAGCAGACTTTATCCATAATATCAATTTAATGTAATATAATGGTCCGATTATGTATATGTATACAATGTATATGTATACATGTGTTTTGGAAATTTATGTTATGTATATCGGGTCACATCTTTAGTGAAACGATGCGCACTGACTGTGACAAGTAGGGATTTTGTACGCGTTGAAGTGATATCTTAATAACGTTTGTTGCAATTTTCTGTACTATCGATGTTGTGTATCATAGAACAGTCAATATAAAGATTTATTAGATGGTGATAACATGAAAAATCCAAAGGTTAAAGTTACTGAAGTTTTGCACTGTAATTTTATTGCAGTGAATGTGTGTTCAATGGTCAATTTAAGATAGTGTAACGAGAATTAGATCACAATGGACGGTGATAGTATAGCGTCAAAAGGAAGTATGCAGAACGGGTTTGACATGATAATTGAAGAAAATCAGCCGATGAGAGTTGAAGAAAAACAGAGACAATATGAAAACATTCTATCACACGCAAATTATACAAATATGGATGTAAAAATTGAAGAAGACATTTAGTTTGATCTAACTGTAAAATAGTTAGTTTCAAAGTTTATTTCAGAACTCAATTCATGTACACACATGACAATATGAGCTATAGCATATACGCGTACATTACATAAAAGGCATAACATACTACTTACTGTTAAACAAACCGGTCGGTTACCCAAAGCTGGACTGAAATACTGCACGAAAATATCGTGCACACATGTCACGCTTAACTAAATATCCTAACGATGACTACGTTACAAATAAATTTCTGAACATTAACAACTGGACATAAACAAGTTCCTGGTTTAGCTATTGTTATCCAAGACCCGTCTCTATATTTATCAGTCTTACTGCTTTCTATAAAAATTGGCATGTATGTTTGAAAACAAAACAAAACAATATCAGACACTTTAATACAATTCGGAACTTCTCAAAAATCCAGAAAAGGCTAGAAGACACGCACAAATGATTCTCAGAATACAAATGATTATACATTTTTGATAATATGTCCCTTGTTAAATGGTCTTTTTTAACTGTTGGTTTGCCCAGTAATCTGTTAGATGATTCTAAAATATTTGTCAGTTGGCGATTTAAAGTCAAATAAATCATGAAACCATTTAACTGCATAAAAAACAGAAATCACAGGACTTGGTGTATTTGCTGTCTGTATCAATGAAGCCAAATAAATTGCGAAAGAAAAAGCCTTAGCAGGAAAGATATCCCCACTCAATAACCCATTACACTTTGCCCATTTCTCCCAGCGAGAAAAACTGTTCTCATATTTCCGACTTGTGCTATCAGCCCTCGATTTGCGTGTAGGTTGACCTTTTCTGCCAAACTTTGGGTAATGCATCAATTTCATCTTTATGCGGTTGTGAAAATGAACATATAATAATAAATAAATTAGTAAGTATGCTTGAAATGTAAATTTACAAATAGTCACAATAAACACAATTTGACTAACTGTACATTTTATCAATCAATTAAGTTTTGTAACTGATAAATTATTTTTATCATATCTAACAAGTCTGTCTATCCCCAGCAATACTGCCTTTCCACTTCTAACAACTCTGTCTATTCCTGGCAATACTGCCTTTTCACTGACAATTCTGTCTATTGCTGACACACTGACAATAATTATGTCTTTTGTTTATTATAAGGGGGACAACTCTAAAGTAAAATACTGATATAAGTAATACGATTAATCTCCCTTTGAAAAAATCATCACTCGG